ACCCCCCCCCCCCCCCCCCCCCCCCCCCCCAAAACCGTCGCCTACATCGGCCTCGCCAAAAGATCTCGCACAGATAGATACCCGCCCCTTGACAAATACCCAGAGGGTAAAGAAAATGCCCAGGTTCTGTGAGTGGAGCTTAATCCATTCAACCGTTACACAAAGGTGGGAGGAAAAAAGTTCGGGTCGCACAAGACACAAGACGTGCTGCCACCGACGCATGGCTGCGGCGCAGCGCGCATGTCGTCTGCCTCCGAAGGGCGCACCACAAAGAAAAAGAAGAAAAAAAAGAAGAGGACGAGAAAAACGTCCTGAGAGAAGGGCGAAGAGTAGAGCAAGCCAGGATTTGCAAGCATATAAAGCAGCCAAGACCGCCCCCTCTCCCCATGTCGTACCACCCACCTCCTCTCTCTCCTTGGGGGCCATGTATCATCATGATTATATATCGTCAAAGACACGACCTGACTCACCTTTCTCCGGCCTGCTACCCTCCAAGCATTTCCGCCGTGCGAGCCCATCGCCGGCCTTGGAGGCGGATGTGCGGAATGTGACCATGTTCCACCCGCGCTACATGTGCCAATGTCAACCTTTCTACACTGCATCAGGACCGCCAGTCGGGGCGTTTCCGCGTGCTTGGGTGGTATCATACTAGAGCAAGACGATAGAATCCATCTTCACATGGAAAAAAACGCCACAAAGGGAATCACGTGGTCTCTTCCCCCACACCTAGTCTTATTTTCCCAGTTCATTGCTTGCTTCTCAGCCAGCCGCTGATACCAACGCTTCTCCCCCATTTGGAAATCTCTGCACCCGAGAGCTGGTGTGTGGATCGACGGCACATCTGCCAGAGGGGACAAGTCTGACATGACCCCCTCCAACCTCCCCTCCCTCCTAGCACATGGAAAATCTGGTATGCATGGCCCCTCTTGCTAAGCACCGTAAAAGCCGGGAAAGATGACTTGTGGGAACGGAGCCCAGTGGGGATGCGTCGATTTGTCCCCGGAACAGATTACCGTGCATCTTGGGCGTGGGAAAGGTAAGTAAGATGCCTCGATCAAAGTACCACGCATAAAACCGACATATTGATGCCTTGTTCGGACACCGAGCGTCGCGTTGGAGATACAACGGATCAAAACGAGATTCAATAACAGGTGCGCAGCCTTGTGTCTCCTATAATGCGACTTTGTTGTCATTTATGCTCGGTCCTTTGGCAGCACACCAGCAAAAGCTTCTATCTCGGGTAACTAATCATCTAGTTTTATATGCCTCTCTGTGGAAGAGACAGTACTATAGTGTAAAATAGCACATACAATACCTGGTAATGGCCGACGCTTTCGTGACCCAGCAGGTCCGGGCGTTTTACCAACACACAGTTTGTGTGGCGAGTTGCATGGCGGTAACAATAATCAGCGAATAAGCAAGCGCCACTCAGCGCTCAGGTAGAAGTCACCGGCCGCCAGGAATCGTGGTATCGCGCCCACTTGCGGAATCCTACGCACGATCGGTCAGTTTTCATTCCTCCCTGCTCGTGTAGCACAACCCCTCAAAAAGGTGGTAAGGAGGGTGGGTATGTGCTGACACGCAGACATCACAGAAGTGGGAGGGGAATGCAAGTGGCAGCTTACCCATGACCAGGAATCCCTCGTCACCGCCTCTGATGGCGTCGAGGAACATGCCCTGCATGCCCCGTTCCTGCAGACTCCTCACGCAGGCATCCAGCAGGCGGACCATGACGAAGTCGCGCGACGTTGTAGTGGCAAGACTTCCATCTGCGGTTGCTCTCATTGTCAGCTTGAGTACATGGGGCCGTGATTAAAGGACAAACAAAAAACATACCCGAAACGCATATGCACGTAACGCCGCCGATATCGTCCCCGATGGTCCCGGCCCAGGGCAGGTCCTTGACGACATCACTATCGGACCTCGGCACGTACGTGATGGCGCAAGCAGAGACGACACCCCCCGTCACGCCCACCATGATGTCCCGCATGCAGAATGGATTGTCCATGAGCGGCCGGTACTGGTCATACCAGCCCATATTGTCGTTACGCGCCGACTCGGCGTCGACCAGCTCCAGGACCTGTTCAAATTCGTGCGGCTCGCAGGGCCGGAATGCGAGGGCCTTTGCGGGACCTGTAGAGGAGAGGGCGGAAGAAGATGGCACGTTGAAGCGCTCCGGGTAGTCGGCGAACCGGAGCAGCCAGTCGCAGACCTCCTGGCCCCGGCCCGGGACGTGCGGGAGCGACAGCTCCCACCCGCGGCGGCGGAACCAGCCCTCGGATGGACTGGCCAGGGGCAGGCCGAACAGCAGCCGCGGGAAGGTGGTACCAAGCTGCAGGCGGAAGACGCCGCGGATGCAGTGGAGCTTGCGGAGCGCGTGGTCGTGCAGCGACAGGCCGATGCCGCGGCGGCGGTACTCGGGCCTGACGGCAACGATGGCGAGCGAGCCGACGAGGTGATCGACGTTGCTGTCGGCGTAGGTTATGTAGGTGGCACAGAAGCCGACCAGACGGCCCGACTCGGGCTCGCGCACGACGTAGTGGCTAGTGTAGCCATCCCGCATCAGAAGCTTCTGCAGCTGGCTTTGTGACAGGCCCGCAAAGTCCTTGGGCACCGACTGGCACCACAGCCCGTGTACGTCCTCGAGGTCGCGGTGGAGGGAAAAGTCCTCGACCGCCCACTCCTGCGGGGCCAGGACGAGGTTTTGCAGCAGGTTGCTGCTCGGCTTGTAGAGCGAGCCGACGGCGGCCTCGAGGGCGGCGGGCGAGTAACCCGACGTCTGGACGATAGTCGGGAAGCTCGCATCCAGCCCGTCGAGCTCGCTGATGCTACAGCAGGCCAGCACTATCAGTAGCCGGCCGCCAGCTCCGTCCCGCAGCTTCTTCGCCATGCTGACCTGCGACGGTTGGTTTGATAATGGCGGTCCCGAGATGAAGAATATGAGTAGCCTTGGGTTCTCCCTGGTGATAATCCCAAAATGGGTCTGGCCAACCCCACCCTTTGCTGTGTATGGAACATGGTGTAGTTGGGGTTTGGGCGACTGCCTCATAAGCGCCCGAGCAAAAGCTTCAAAGGGGTCTTGTGAGAGGGACCCGGGAGGAGGCGGCCCTCGATCACGGGGAGGCACAACGACGGGCGTCAACAGGACAACGCTGTCCCCCTCGGATATCACCCTCGTGAGTGGTATGCAGCCCTGCGAGTCCCGCACGACGGTGAGCGGAGGTGTCGCGCTTTCCATCCCTTCCGAAAACTAGTACGCGCCCGAGGAGCTTTGTCGAAATCAGTGTGCTGTCCTGGACATGGTATCAAGTGCTGTTAGGGGTGGCCGATTCATGTGTCCTCATGGAACGGCACTTGTCCCTCCCTGATGGAGGGGCAGTTGGGTGACACAAACGATGGTGAGGAGGAAAAGAAAAGAGCGATGAGCGAAGAGATGGCCAAGCCAAGAAGAAGGCGGTTTCAAGGATCCTAGCCCGGCATGTCGGATCAGTTTTACTTGACCTTTCGTATACCTCGCGGACGCTAACTCTTTTTGAGGCGTGAGTGCGAGAGGGCCGTTTTGACAGGCAAGACTGCTGACAGGAGTGGACTTACAATCGAGGCCAATCTCGCTATCTCGGAATCTTCATGGCTGTCCCAACGAAGCCACCTGCAAGGAGGATGATAACACGGCGTTCAGGTCCCCTCCCGTCTTGAAGTCTGTCGAGCAACGAAACACGGTAGCGGTAGCGACAGTGTATGCGACCCTCTGCGTTGTTCCGAGAACTGCCTCTCCACCCCCAGATATATTGCCGAGCCGGAGTGACCCAATCCTGCGGGCGATACTGGCAGCGGTCGTGGCCGTGGTTCCAGGTTGTGAGTTAGAAGAAGAAGAACCCAGGAAACTCCCTGTGTTGTGTTGGCTGTTGACGATGCCAGTGAGGTTGATGACAGAACCCACTTGGCACTGGCTGTGGAGGTAGCGATGAGTGCTCGTTGGACAAGGATACACGTAAGGCCCAGGAGAGGAAAAAAATCTCCCGCGACCGGACAGGGCTGGTTGTGATTATTGACGTCTCTGGATTTTATTATCTCGTTCCCGCTGTGACATTCATCTTGTCTTTATCTTTCCTCTATTTTTCTTGGTGCGGGGAGGGAGTGAGCAAGGCCAGAAGGTAGGACCGGCAGGAATCCGTGACGGGGATCGAGGCCCTTTTCAGAGGCCGATGAACATGATGTCGGTCGTTGTCCCCTGGTTTGGCAAACAATAAGACCGCAGGGCACCTTTGGTGTGGGAACGGTAAGATTGGGCTGCCGAGGGGGAGGGCGCGGCGGGAGCTAGAGTTAAAGTACCAAGAGCGCGTCACCTTGGGCGGCTGGGCGGACAACCAAAGCCTCCGGCTCGGGTCGGGTAGGGCAAGAACGAGGGAGGAAGTGGCCATGCCAGGAAGGGAACAGGCCTAGTAGCGAAGCCGACAGGCGCGTGCAGCAGCAGTCACCCCCAGGTGGTACCTCGTCGGTGGCACCCTACCTACCGGGCTGGTTGTGCAGCACAAGTCCGATGCATGGGCTTTGCAGGCTGGCCTAGGGCCTGCAGCGGCTGCAGTGGCCTACGCCGTGGGAACCGCATCTCGTTTGAGACCCGGCCGTCCTCGCAGGAGCACAGGCGCGCCGCAAACGAGGACGCTGTCGACCTCGCACAGGGAGGGATGCGGACGGTGACACTAGAGGGGCGGGGCGGCAGCTAGGCAGGAGAGACGAAAATATGAGACGGGGCACAAAGCACCTGCAGGGCTCCTTTGCAAGGCAGCGAGAGGTGATGACCGAGGAGTTGACAAACAGAGAAGGTGGCAGATTGGGTGATTGTTGCCCGGTTTCGTTCGTGTTCGGGAACAGCACAACAAGCATGGACGGATTGGAGGCACACCTTCTCAATTTGATTTGATCTTCAGTGTTGGGCCTGACGCAGTGAGCTGTCTCCAGGGCTGGGCACTGAATCATGCCAGCGCTGTGATTGCCAGACCTGCAGGGCCCGCGACTGCCTTTCTAGGCGGTCGGCCTCAGCACTGCTTGTCTGACACCGAAACCCGGCGGCCTGTGCCCTAATATTGATGAAAGCAGCAGGCAGCGTCCCTGGCGGTCCACCAGTCGTCAATGTCAGCACACAAAGACAACAAGCGTGGGCAATCATGGCTCTCTGCAGCGAACTCGCATGGCAGTTGCATGGAGCCTCGCATCCTATCCCGCGACGGTGCCACCCCATTCGTAGTGATTGGCCGCCCGGTTGTGTACACTTGGGGGCCATTTTTTGTGGTGGTGTGACAGCCTGGACCAGGTAGACACCACTATCTAGGTGGGCGTCTAGGTGTGGAAGCAAACATGAACAAGATGAGAGAGGGGCCGGGCATGCGCAAGCCTGGTGATGTAGCCATGATGTACAGGTCGAGGCTGGGACGGGGCCGTTCGAGATGCTGTCGGACGCCTGCTGTGGTGCAACGAAGCAACAGGCAGGAACAAGAACCGAGACTGGGGCACGCGGAGAACCGACGAGGTCGTGCCCCCAACCGGGCTTCTGGTGGAACGCTCGTGTGCGACGGCGGGACTGGTTCTTGTTTTGTGTTGCGGTAACAGCAAGCGAGCTGGGGAGCCAAGCACTGAAGCCAAGTACATACTGGATCCAGGTAGCCCTGTATGAGCATGAGCCTGCGTGACGGCCCCGACCCGCTCGCTTTGGTACAACGGCAACTTCTGGAAGCCGCGCAACACGACGACAAACAGAGCCTGGGCGCGAGGTTACACAGAGCCTAGGCGCAGGGTGCCACGCCTCACCGTCGTGTGTGGCACAAGCACTCTTGCGAAAGTCGCCGGTTGACTGGTCCTGCATGCGGGCCATGGGCCTAGTAACCCCTGGCTGCCCACGTACCCACATACCCACTTTCACCCACCCGTAGTTTGCTCCGAGCGAGCTTACCAGAGCCGAGGGAACACGAGGGAGGAGGAGAGCAAAGCTAACGCGAAATAGCTCGGTGGCCCCTCTAGGTAGTAAGGTGGTGGATATCTAGGTGGGTGGTTGAGGTTTCTGTTGTGCTACTTGTCACTGCGACCAACCTTTTTCTTCGTCCTTTGCCTGGAATTCCGCCTGACTGGGGAACGAGTACCAAACCCAAACAGCACGCTCATTATCCTGGTTTCGGTGTGTTTCCGCTGCACACCGGGGTGGGGATCAACTCGAGCCAAAGGAGGGGGAGCCTGCCCCAGCTATTTTTGGCACCCGACGGGATGCTGAGGACGGGATGAGCCGACTGACTGTTAGGCTGGTTGTCAGGGGCAAGGACTGGCCGTCTCGACAAGCGATTCCTAACGGCAACAGGCATACATTTTCGGCAGCCAGACCAATCCTACGCGGCCGCGTTTTCGCGAAACACAACAACACAGACACAGACATACTGCAGGATCAACGGGCTGCGGATCGATCGAGGCACTGTTCCGCGCTCGGCCTCGGCCTCGATGCTTCCACCCAGTCTTGCGAGACCTTGGTCGGGGTGCCATGTCTCGAGGCAATCTCGTGGCTGAATTTCCTTGGAGGGCTTTGACGCGACCTCGAGGTCTCACCTGCCCATGAAGCTTGGAAGTGCCTAGATTGACCTCGATATGGATGTGTTATTTCCATCCTCCCAGCCTGGGCCTCATGCTTGATCCTGATGCTTGTGTGCTATTGATACCGTGCCGTGCCGCCCCACCACCCTTGAATTGGATCAAGCTGGCACGCTGGCTGTCAAACCAGCACACACTGGTGGATCGCCGCACGGATGCATATTTGATGGGCGCAGGAAGGTGCTAAAACTGGAGGGATCACCACTACCTGCCCAGGTAACCAATCCAATCAAGACTTGGCCCCCCCGCCAGCGCGTCTCGTCACCAGAAATCGCGTCTGCCACCAAACCGCCGACTAAATTGCTTGCATGCACCCAGCTCGCATCGGCTGGTTTATTCCCCCCAAGAGCGCCGGATCTGGCGTTGTTAGCCCTCTTCTGGAGGCGGCGCACCTTCATCCCTGCAGCCCGCAGCGCCTCCTGCAGTACACGACAACGGCAAACGGGCTCAATATCCGGCAAAAATGAGAGCCGCCGTCGTGTAACAGCACCCACCCAAGCCATGTTGCAGACTCCCTGAGCGGATCTTTATCCCCGCCACCACCAAGGATTGCTATCAGCCCAGTAGGGAAGGTAGGTACAGCAATCGAGTAAGCCAACCCACCCGAGACACCACACACAGACGCACATAGGAGTCATCAGGGACGCGACAATGGACGAGAGTGACGATCATCAGAGTCTCGGGCCCCAGCTCGACGACCTGGCCACCGGTGAGTCGCCTCTAGTCAAGACATGCATTACGCTGTCCCTGCCGCCTGCCCTAGATCCAAGCATAGCCTAACCGCCCTCGCAGCCTCCAAGATCCCGGCCAAGCGTCGCGGCGTCTCCATCAAGCCCACTATCGAAAGCATCACATCGCTTTCGTATGAGAGGGGTCTGATCCCCGCCGACCTGGTCCGGCTTGTCGACCTCATCACAGCATCGGGCCACCACCTCGACCAAGCCAGCCTAGGAGCCCTCGTGAGGAGCCTCTACCCGGCCGGCCCCGTGTCAGACGACGTGGTCCTCACCGTCGTCGGCTCCCTCGGACACGGCCAGCTGAAGCCGTCGCTGCCGATCCAGTCGCTGCTGCTCAGGTGGCTGGTTATGATATATCACATTCTCGATAGCCGCGCCGTCCTGTCCCAGTCATACCCTGTCTTATTCAACCTGCTCGACACGGCCGCCATAAGGTATAGAAGAACCAGCCACGCTCCTCAGAGCCGACAAAACCGCTGACAATGCGCACCGCCTAGGCCTCAGCTATGCCACCTGCTTGCTTTAGTCACTCGTCGAAAACATGTCCGTCCGTTCAGGATCCAGTCCATGTAAGTGTACTCATGTCCTTGTGGGCCTCCGTTCTACCAAGCGACCGTGCTGATTTATACCTCCCTAGCTTGGACCTTTCCCGGCAAACAGGCCACGACCCCTCGCTGGTCGGGCTGCTGAGGATATACAAAAATTACTATCCCGAAGTGATAGTTGGCGATGTTACGAGGGGGAAGGCATCCCCGTTCAAGGTATGGGCAGCCACAGAGAGCGCGAGCGATAATATCTCAAGACGCAATCCATCATGTGATTCCACTGACGAGGTATTATATCAAGTACCCTGATCCAGAGTGGCGGGAAAGGCTCGGGGAGATCCAAGCAGCGCATCGCCTACGACAGGATCGTCGCATGGCCGATAGCGGTCCCCGAAACGGATTCAGAGTGAACCACAACGTTGATCGTCGGAAGAGCACACTATTGCCGCCTGTCCAGACATCACACGCCAACGAGGTGAGCTGCCTTGGGCTGGCTCACTACATGGGGTCTGTTCTCGCCAGCATGCTGAACACGCGTCCTGTAGGAATCGGTGACAATCGAAGAAATCGACAGCGTGGAGCAGTTTGTCGATAACTTGGAGAAACTCGAGCTTCCCAACCAGCTAGTGGCCGTGCTGGCCGACCCCTTGCTGCAGAAGTTGCTCATGCTGAGGCCGGACGCCACTGCCGGTGCGAGAATAAGCAACTGGCTCGACTCTTCAATCGCCGATGCAGCTGACGATGCTCATACTGATGGTGGCAGAGCTCTTCTCGACCTACTCGAGCTTGTCCATGACCATGCCGAACAAACACAGGTATACTACGGTCCCTGCTACTCCCAGGCAATCCTGTGAGGATCTAGATGCTGATGCCAACCCCCATAGTCGCTCCACCCGTTGTTCGATCGTTTACTACACCAGCTCTATCCGGCATGGAACGGAAAGGACAGGAGAAATGTTGTTTTGGACACTCTGACTTTTATCCCACTTGGGTCCTTTGCAAAGCTCTACGAGGTTCATTTTCGCCCTGTAGAGAGCAAGGTCCTGGATGACACGCCAGAGCCACAGCTGGCCCTCCTGGAGTTTTATACTTGTCTACTCCGGCGCTGGACGGTGCAGATACTCTCACTTACCGGGGCCGTCCCAAAGCATGCGCCGGACGCAGTCGCTGCGCTGACCGGGCACGTCAACAAGCTCTGCCTGACGCTGGCGCAGCAACAATCGCCGCCGGCCGCGACGTCGACGCACATGCGCATCATCGGCTTTTACGACGCAGCCGCCCGGCTCATATCGAACCCCAGCGCCATGCCACACATGCACATAGTGGCGCCGCCCGCCGCCGTGCTGTACGCGCTCGGCTTCTCGGACTCACCCGCCGTGCTCTCGGGCCTCTGCGGCGTCCTGGCGCGCTACAAGCGTGGGCTCGAGGTGATCATGAGCGGCGGCGGCGGCGCGTCGCGGCCCCGGCTCACGGTCGCCGAGCGCGAGCAGGTCGCCGTGTTCAACCGCTTCTTCATGGACACGTGCAACTGCCTCTGGCGCGGGCGCGCGCTCGAGAAGGCGGGCGACAACGCCGTCGGCTGCGGCCTGGCCGACGCCGTGATCGCGGCGCTCGAGCGCTGGGCCACGGCGGCGGCTGAGGACGAGGCAGACAAGGGCGGCAAGGCGCTCAAGGCCATGTACGGCGTGAGCCGCTCGCCGGCGCTGTGCCTGGCCGCACGCGACTTTTTGCAGGGCCTCGAGGAGGCCGAGATGCGGGCGGCCGAGGCCGAGGCCGAGCCACTGTTGGCGCGCCACGCGGGGCCGGCGTCGCAGCAGAGCCTAGCCCGCCTAGCGCGCGACGGCGGCCTCGACGTGCAGTGGCAGGAGTTCCGGCTCGGCGTGCTGGACGAGTTCCAGCGGCTGGGCTTCGGCGGCGTGCCCGACCTGCTGTACCAGGCCATGAAGGGGCTGATGGGCACGCGGGCCCGGGCTGCGCAGGGCCAGGGGGGTGGTTGATTGTGGGTGTGATTTCTTTGGTGTGTGTCGCTTCCTAAAGTTCAGTACGAGCTTGTAGCATAGTCGTACATGCACTAAGAAACAAAGGGTCCGTGTGACCGGAAAATTCAGGGCTTCTTGATTTTGCAACTGCCCGTACGGTTCTGTTCTATGGATGTAAATGGGTGTAGGTGTATCTCAGGGTTACTCACCCCATTCTGGTAGCCTTGAATGGCGTGATGGCCTGCCGACCTCGCTCGATCGGCGCTTTCTTGAACCGAGCTTGGGCCGCCCCGCTCGAGACTCGGTCATCCCTCCACGCCGACTCACCCTCGAATCCCCCCTACTTCTTGCACCACATCCGCAGCGCCGCCAAGAGAACAAAGCCAACCACCAACCAAACCTCTGCCCGCCATGGCGCGCCTACCCACAGTCGAGGTCCGGGACCTGACCTACTCATTCCCCGACCGCAGCACCGGCCTGTCGGGCGTCAGCCTCTCACTCCCGTCGCGCAGCCGCGCGTGCCTGATCGGGGCCAACGGGGCCGGCAAGACGACGCTCCTGCGCCTGCTGGCCGGCAAGCGGCTCTCGCCCGCGGGCGCCGTGCTCGTCGGCGGCGTCGACCCCTTCTCCGACTCGCCCGAGGGCGTGACCTACCTGGGGCTCGAGTGGGTCCTCAACCCCATCGTGCGCACCGACGTCGGCGTCGCCGAGCTCCTCCGCTCCGTCGGCGGCGACGCCTACCCGGAGCGCCGCGACGAGCTCGTCGCGGTCCTCGACGTCGACACCTCGTGGCGCATGCACGCCGTCTCGGACGGCGAGCGCCGCCGCGTCCAGCTGGCCATGGGGCTCGTCCGCCCCTGGTCGCTGCTGCTGCTCGACGAGGTCACGGTCGACCTCGACGTGCTGTCGCGCGCGCGCTTCCTGGGCTGGCTGCGCCGCGAGACCGAGGTGCGGGACGCGACCATAGTGTACGCCACCCACATCCTCGACAACCTGGCCGGCTGGCCCACGCACCTGGTGCACATGCACGTCGGCACCGTGCGCGAGTGGGGGCCGACGCAGGAGTTCCTGGACGCCGTTGGGGATAGCGGCTCCGGCAACAGCAGGCTGGGCGAGCTGGTGCTCGGCTGGCTCGAGCGTGACCTCGCGGACCGCGGGCCGCGCAGCCAGAACAGGCGGGCGCCCGAGGGCAAGACGTACGGCCAGGGCGGCGCCGAGCTGGGCGGGTACGGGTTCGAGCCGAACGGGCCGCCGCCAAAGGGGGAGTGATGGAAGCGAGGGGGGCTTTCTTTTCTTCTTCGTTGTTTTTTTTCTTTTATTGCTCTCCTTCTTCAACTAGAGAGTTGCGTTTCTGGAGGACACAGTGGCGTTCAACAATGGCATCCACGCGAGAGGGCATATTGCACTTAACTGCATGCCAATGGGGGATAAACGGCGTTTTGTTATTTGGTTCTTCAACACGGACAGGAATCTAGGTAGATATGGGCAAGGCATGATACGTGAAGCTAGAAAAATGCAATAGCAGCTTTCAAGGCTACGATGGCTATCAACAAGCTTCCAAGACAGGCCGGTGCTCAAACGTCTTCGGGATGCTCGTGTGTGCATGTGTGCACATGTTGTTGTCAGCAGCTGATGGTTCGCCAAAGTCGGAAGAAGAGGAAGAAGAGAAAGAAGAGATCAAAGTGTCCGGATGCGTGCTCGCCCGCCGTTGCAGCCTGGCGCACGGGTTCGGTGTGAATATGGGAGGGATGTGGCAGTGTTCCAAGGAGAGCGTGTAAACAAGGAACGCCTGTTTCTCCGTAGATACCTTTCCGTCAGTCACGTCCTTTTATGTTTCTCGGCAGCTTTTACGCAGAGCTCGAAAACCAGGGCTGGCGATCACGAAGCGGCGAATGTGGCCATAATTGCAGGTGTCGGGGCTCCCCAGGATGGAGTTTGGATGGGAGGCCGTCTTAGGACGGGCAGGAGGAAACTTGGATATCAGATGTTGCTGCAAGATATCACGAGCCTCGGGTCGAGCCGCGCTCCAAGACTTTGCTCGAAGAGCTCCGTCATGGTGGGCTGCATGCAGAATGTCCGAGTATCAAATCCTGGGGCTTCATTCTATACGGTCTTGGGCGCTCCCGCCACCTCTGCGGTGCGGCACGTGCAGTCGCCCTCCTCCGCCAGACCTCGCTTCTGCCAGCCGGGGCCCAGACCTTATAGCCCTCGGCTCTGCTGTTACCAAGCACGAACCTGGGGCACATCTTCGGTGGTATAGCGAGTTGCCTGTGAGCTTTTGCCAGTCGGCTGTTTTTTGCTGCTTGCGGTCTGGACAAGCTGTCAAGAATTTGTTGTGATGGCATCGCAAGCCTCGTGCGCAAAACCCAAACCACAGGATTTTATTATCCCGGAACATAAGATATCCTAACAGCCCTGTTATAGCAGTGGTTAGCAATGGTGAAAATAAAAGTAATATGCTTTGCCCGCGTTCTTCATGGTAAGCTTTTCGTCCGGCCTGCATTCTTTATGCCATGTTCCATCCCGCTCGTGCTTTGCTGCGGCATCATTTCTATGTCTTCTCGTGGTGCAGTTTTGTAAGTGGGGATATGCCGAGCCGCCGGTAGAAATGTATACGAAATCATAAAGAAACAAAATTTCGACGTGGTTTGGTCCGATACACTCCCTAACAGTAGGCTGGCGCTCGAGATCATCCCAAATAACCCATCCCATCGTGTGCGGCAGCCGAGATAAGAAAATAACGCCTTCCCCTATCTTGCGGCTGCGCCTTGTTCCACAGCGTCTTGTGCCTGAGCTCGTGCACCAACCCAGGACAGATGGCACTCTTTTCAAGATTGGTGGTTGGTTCCTTGCCCTTGGGCACACAAGCCACCAATATGCCGCTCAATCGTTTCACAAAGCGAACCCAGCAATTATTGTGACAGTCGTCACTGATATCTCGGTGCTTGCATTGCATGTCTCGCGCAGTCTGGCTGCAGTTGTGTTGTCGGGTTTGCCATGCCGGATTTTTGGAAACGCTTCTACTCTGTAGGGTGACTAACAGTCGCGATACAACAGGCAAATCCCGGCTCGCCAATTCCTTCCTTAATTTCCACCCCCTGCCAGAAACCCTCCACGCCAAGACAACTCGCTCCACAGACGGGATCCCAAGCCCCTGGTCCTCCTTATCGAGCCGCGACGACAGATCTGATAATTCCCATCAGAGACATGGCAGGCAGCGATCATGCTGGTAGCTAACCTCCGCTTCTCCTCGTCCCGTGCGGTCTCGGCTCGCTGCCGACCCTCATGCGGGGAAAGGAAGCTTGAGAAAAAGACTTGCCCTTTCCGGGATAGCGGTAACACTTGCAGCGCGCGTGTTCCTTCCCGAACCTTGGCTGTTGTACGTAGGTACCAGTCTACATTACACCAAGAAACCCAGAGCCAGGGCCTATGTACACCTACCCGGATTCAGGCCTCCAAATGCCGTGCGGGGAGCCTTATCTGACCTGATACCAGGTGGTGGTGGGTAGAAATGAACTCAGACTTTTGTCACCGGGCGTCTGCTCTCAGCTAAATTTCTCCTTGCTTTTTTCCCGGTCTAGCGTTGTTTGGCGCTGCCGATCCGCCACCGCCTTCCCTGCCAGTGATTTGCTTTGTTGAGAACACTAACCGTTGTCATCATCACTCGCTGCCGCTCAAAAGGCCTCTGCTCCCCTTTTCGCAATTCGCGCGCTCGCTGCTCAAGGTAGCCCGAGCCTAGCATCCCAGAGAACAAGGGCACAGCCAAGATGGAGCCAGACATCTCGCGCTCAATAACTCATCACCCCCATCCCTTCCACCTGCAGCCGCCGTCGCCGCGCTCCAACTCGCACACGCCGCACGCTAGCGGCACGCCGGACATTGTCGACGGCGCTAGCAGCACCGCCGTTGAGCTGGTGGAGGATGTGCACGGGCAGTCGCATCACGCCGGAGACGGCAACGACGCAGCAGACCGCAATGTAGTAGGCGGGGGCATCGGTGCGACATCGACGGCCCGGCAGCGGGCGGCGTCGTCCCACCGCATGGCCGGCAGCGGCAGCAACCTCGCCCGCGACGTCGAGGTCGAGAGCCAGACCACGGCGGGCGGCGGGCGCATGCCGCTCTACAGCTTCGAGAACGACCCGTACGGCTTCTCGCGCGCCTACAAGACGCCCGCCGACATTGAGCAGATCAAGGCTAACACGTCGCGCAAGCTGCGGTCGCGGAGGGGCGGGGTGCTGGGGTGGAGGGGAGGAAGCGGCCGGAAGGATGACCCCTCCCCGGTGGTCGCGGGCGGTGGTGGTGGCGGTGGCGGCGGCGGCGGCGCGGCCCCCACAAGGAGCGGGAGCGCGGGGAGCGGCATCCTGGGCGGGTTCGTCCCGACGCCGGTGCGGTCGACGCTGCAGGCGCGGCGGGTCGAGGACTTTTACAAGTCGCAGAACGAGACGATCGAGCGGCTGCTCAAGTCGGTCGAGGAGCACCGGGCCGAGGCGCGCCACGAGGCGGGCGAGGACCTGTTGCAGTTCCGCGTCGGCGTCTGGGGCTCGTTCGCGGCCAACCTCGTGCTGGCGGCGCTGCAGATCTACGCGGCCGTGGCCTCGGGCTCGCTCTCGCTCTTCACCACCATGGCCGACAGCATCTTCGACCCGCTCAGCAACCTGACGCTGATCCTGTCCAACCGCGCCGTCCGCCGCGTCGACCCCTCGCGCTTCCCGTCGGGCAAGGCGCGCCTCGAGACGGTCGGCAACATTGTGTTTTGCTTCCTCATGACCTCGGTCTCGCTCATCCTCATCGCCTTCTCGGCCCAGGAGCTCGCCCAGCGCGCGGGCCAGGAGGGCACAAACGGCTTCCACCTGTCGTCCGTCGTGGCCGTCGGCGTCGCCTTTGCCACAAAGTTCTCGCTGTTTCTGTACACGTGGGCGCTCAAGGACCGGTACTCGCAGATCCGGATCCTGTGGCAGGACCACCGCAACGACCTCTTTGTCAACGCCTTTGGTATCCTCACGTCCGTCGGGGCAAGTCACTCCCTCTTTTCCTCGTCTTACC